GTGGACAAACAGATCCATTCTCTGTCGCGTTCAAACATTAATCTCAGCAAATTCGACGACCTGCTCAGTTGCAGTGGGTGAGCATTATTGTCACAAGTAAGAACGTAAATTACATACCTAGGATCTATTCTTGAGGTCAAACCTCTCCTGCTGAGCAAAATGGCATCCAATGTAATAAAAAAAGTCAATCAAAGAACTAGATTCCTTTGATACCGGATCTCCTCTCTGCGCTAAAAACAAAACACCCTCGAAAACTCCGGCAGCGAGCACTCATTCCAAGGGTACTATGACTATGCCCTTGCACGTCAATGGCTACATAGCACCCCAAGGGCGCCTAAAAAATAAAAACTTCAAAACATCCAAATGAAACCTGGTCAGACTACTGCTTGACCTTTGCATCTAGAACCCACTCTCACCTCTGCCCACTTTGCGACGAACCGTTAGATGGCTTAGAGTAGACGAACAGGAGTACAGCTACTTGCAAATTGCTGCACTGGTCTACAATGATCCACTCTACACCTCTATGTCGCGTACCCGATTGTGACATGTCAAAATATTCCCAAAGTCAAGATTACCGATGATCATAACACCAAGAGGCGAGCTCCCACAAATCATTAAAACCCAGATTCTGCCACAAAAAAGGGCGAATACACGTTTCGCAATATGCCACATCAAGGTGAACGCTCTTCCCACTAACTGCTAAAAGGAAAAAAGAAGTTTAAGAAAACTGATACTTAGGCCTTCAAAACCTCTCTTTAAAAGAGCCACCTTCGCAGCAGCCATGCCAAAACTGCGCTTCCGGTAATGGTACAAATCTCAACCCTGTCGTACAATGGACAGCGTCGGGGGGGGGGCCCCAATCTATGTATATATATACTCCGCCATTTTAAAGACTCTGGCTTACTAACTGTATATATTCTTAGACTTGCGTATGCTCTAAATGTCCGGGTTAGGATGTATTAGAACGAAATCTAAAATGAAAATTGTAAATAAGCCATCTGTATGTAAAAAACCACCTGTATGTAAATTGTAAATAAGCCATCTGTTTGTCAAATATGTCTTATATGTCTTAAATGATATGATGAATTGGAAATGGGGGACCCTGATGTAAACAAGACGAAAGTCTTTCTCTGGTCTGCATCCCCTTAACAATTGTATGTTTTGAGTTGTACTGTACTGTACCCCAATATACAAGCTGTTAATAAACTTTTCAATCAATCAATCAATCAAACCGCTAACGTTAGCGCTACGTGTAGCAGCTACAAGCTAAAGGCTAACATTAGCATAGCCTTTTTATTTATTCTGCAGATAAAACCTCTGAGCTTTTGATAAAAATCCTCCTTTTGTATTCTCCACCTGTGAATGTTTTCTAACATCTAGCAATGCACTCTCACATGCCTGCAGCCTGTTTTTTTTTGTTTTTTTAGCAATGCAGTGTTTAAAATGTGCTATGCTTTTTGGCATTGCCCTTTCGACAGACTGAGCGTTCTAGTTTTCCATTGTTTACTTTTCGACACAATATCACAGCAACATGCACATATAAAATGCATTCTCCACCAACAAAAAACCCAACACTTGTTTGTGTGGGGTTTAAGTGTATAAAGTCAAGAATTAATTCAAAATTAATGGATATTTCATGAATTTGCTGTGTTCTGGCTTGCAGTGTGTGCTCAGAGTATTATTTGTCACCACTTAATTCTCTTCTCCTTCTCCTATGACTCCAACATGAGCTCAAAGAAATGTAATATCTGTCTAAAACTGAAGTTACTACTGACTCTCTCCTTTGTCGGGCAGCAGAAGAAGCCCACGCAGACTGTAACAACACCGTGGGTGTGTGTGTGTGTGTGTGTGTGTGTGTACTTTGAAAGCAATTAACACACTCACACATGTCTGCTGATACACAAGGAGATACACAGTTCTGTCTGCTGGATGTTCAGTATTGATCTGCTGTCTCAACAAGGGGAAATGATTGATAGAACAAAATGTGGTTCGATCCCAGAGCATGGTGGGTAAATTAAGACCTAAAATAATAATAACACACAGACTGAAATAAATATCACTTCATAAGAAACAGCCCCTTATTTTCCTGCTGGAGTGGCAGATCAATATGTATCAACAAGTACACTTGTGACAGGTGCTCAAATATATAATATATAATAAATATACATACATTCAGTAGGGGTGTATAATAGTGATATACTTAAGTTTTGCGTTATTGTGTTGAATTTTAACCCATAATTATATCTGTGTGTGGTTCACTGTGTGTTTACGTTTCTTAACTAAATGTGTTAACCTTAGGAATCTTGCAACACATTTTAATTCCTCCAGTCTTTAGCGTAGGACTGTAAGTTCTTTAAGAGTATTGCATCATGAAAAATACATTTTAGTGCGGTACATTTTAACGCCGCTGTTATCCAGACATCATTTCAGCTGGAAACCTGTCATCTTTTTTTATCACAATTATTTCATTTGACCTCATGTCTCTCATTTCTTCCTGGATTGTGAATTAGTGTTTACAAAGAGGCAGTGTTTCCTATACATTGATGTATTTGTGACGGGCCGCCACAATTAAATATCGTCCGCCACAAATGGATCTCATAAAAAAAAAAAAAAAGTATTATTATTAATTTTATTTATTTTTTTATTATTTTTTTGTTTTTGTGGTCTAATAGATAGTGAGGTGAGCTGATGATCGGAAGGTTGAGAGTTCAAATCCTGCCTGGTACATCACTACTAGTGTGCCCTTGAGCAAGGCACTTAGCCCTCGGTTACTCCAGGGAGAATGTCCCTGTAATTGGTCATTGTAAATCGCTTTGGAATAAGGCGTCTGCTAAATGCCTAAATTGTAAATTATATTTTTGGGAGAATAAATCCCACTGATCCTCAACTCCGGTGTGTTTCAGAGCAACAAGAACGGGGGGGGCGGGGGGGTGCGGTGCGGTGCCCCCACAAATAGAATCAAATTCTGTGGGAAACACTGAGAGGAGTTTATCCAATTTGTTCTATTGATTGAATCATCACGAGAATGCTATAATAAGTTTGAGGTACTAACAGTAAAAAGTAAATACACCATATATTATGTACAGAAAAAAAATTAAACTGTGTCTTTTGTTCAGTCAGTGCAAGATGCATAATGAAATTTAAAATGGTCACAATTTTTTGACATTGTGTGGTGGTAATGAAATAATTTATGCTTCTGTATGCTGGAATAATGTAGTCATTTTTAGGTTTATTTAGCATATTTATCTAGTTTTTATCTGTTAAACTCTAAATGTGTTCCTGTGCTGGAGGCATTTAGGCGTTGTTTTTATGAAGTGTAGATCAGGTTTCAAATCCTCCTTCCTCATTCACATCTCGTTTCATCTCACTGCTGGCAGATGTTCTGACGTCAGAGCCTTTTGTTTAGTTAGGTCCAATTTGACTTCATTACTTTTCCTACCAAACCTGATTTCATTCTTCAAATGAAGTTAGATTTTTAACACAACTGCACGGTATTTATCGTAAATAGTTTATCCAATTTTCTTTTACGCCAGTTGTGTGTTCATGTTTTTCCGTATATATCAACAATTCCCAATAAAAGTACGTCATCTCTAAAGGCATAAACAGAGTGTGAATAAGATGATTGTCTTTTTTGATTTCTGAAAAAAAGTATATCAACTGAATGCAATAATGTAATCACTCAAAGGTTGGACTTAGGACAAATGTAACATTTATTAAGGCTACACTTTTTACTAAAACGTTTTTAGTCCGGCTCAATTCTCTGTTGCTTCATCATACAATTGCCTATTTGAAATATAAGTTGGAAGTTGCTTCCCCCTCAATTATATATCAAATAAATTACCCAGTTTTCTATAATTCTTGATACAACTTTGACATATTTGGAATTTGTGAATTTTTCAATTTTAAGTGGCTTTCTTGCCAATTTAAAAAATACATTTAATGTTGATGCTTATTTTGCGTAATTTTTCAACAAGGATAACTGTCCATCAATAACAAAGTCTAGCTTCTTTTGTAAGATTGTACATAGATTTTCCCAAAGATGCACATTTTACATATTTTACAAATATGCTGCAATATGCATTATTCTCTTTGATATATAAAATAACTGACCATGGTTTGTATTAACTTAAAACAAACAGTATGTTTCTTCTGTTTCGGTCCTAATGTGTAGAGGCTTGTGTTCAGGTGAGGAATGCAAGGCTTGTCTGAACGGGACCTGGGGAGTGTTTTTACGCCTCGGGCCGCCTCCTAAGGAATACTGTTGTTTTCTTTCTCCTGCCGTCCTCATCCTAGCCGAACAAGAAGTATTCAGATTATAGTACTACTTCACTGTACAAATACTCTAGTACAGGGAAAGTCCTGCATTGCAATTTTTTCTCAAGTAATTTGAAAATTATAGTTTTATTAAACATAAAAGTACCCAATGCAGAAAAATTTAAACAAATCGAAAAAAAACTTTTGAAATGACTCAAAAAGAAATTGGAAAATGAGTTCAGTTTTTCGATAAATTATCTCTATCTGTTAATGAATTGTGAAAGCTGTTACTGTGTTGGCTAATTACATTTATAATAAAAAAATATATTTTACAAACTTGTGTTTTTCTACAAAAGTCTTCATTTGGAAATTAACTGAATCTCTGAGTGAGTCGTGAATAAACTGAACTGGGATTATAAGGCAGTGATCAAATCCTTTACTCGAGTAAAATGTGCGCTTAATACCTCAGTAAATGTTCTTATATCACCCGCCACCTCCCTCTGTTCTCGCTCTGTCACTATCTTTATCTCCCCCTCCCTCCCTCTCTCCCCGTGTGTGTTTCTGTGTGTGTGTGATTCTGGTTTTAATACTCTACCATAATCTTTCACACACCGGGGTGCGTGTCACCTTTGGGAGATTGTTTGTCCGGCCGTCGGTGTCGCAGGAAAAGAGATATAAAGACAAAGAGCCGTATCTCCTCCGCTCATCTCTGCTGTTTTATGGGATCCTCTTTTATTGCTTCATGGCGGTGCATCGCTGTCCTTCTTCCTGCAGGAACAGAAACACTTAACCTCAGTTCCAAGAAAGCAGCGTTACTGAGTTATCTGGATGATAACTTGACTGAGAATCCCCCCAAATCTGCAGCATTGTGGAAAGACTTGGCCCTGTTTGTATCTAGATATATCAATAAGTTTAGGAAAGAGTAAATAGGTATATTCTATAGCTTGCTTTAGTAATGGCACAAGGTTTTAAACACAAGATACATTTCCAGTTTTTCTACATTGTTGCTAGCTTTGACTGGTGCTTTATTTATTATGTCATCTTGTTGCGTCCTCTTCTTCCCCAAAATTGTCCCTATGAACATTATCCTAATAATCGCATAATAGTAGTTCATGAAAAAAGGCATACATTTGCATTTTCTTTTCTATTTTCTCTGGAAATTCATTTAAAATATGCGATACATTTGAAAGGAAAAATGGTTATAGAAATGAGCCATAATTAATGTTTTTGTGCTTCATGTCATCATTTTGTCATTCTATACATTTTACTGATGTAAGAGTATAAAGGCAGATTAAGAGACACCTGATGGGAGCTTTGGATCAACAGTCCCCTCACAATTATCCTCTTCCAGCAAACTGCTGCTGCTGCAACATGACTGACAAAGAGAGAGAGGGGGAAGACACGGGGGGAGAGAGGGAAGAGACGGGGGAAGAGAGGGGGGAGAGAGAGGGAGAAGAGAGAAGGAGTCATTGATATAAAACTGGAAAACACAAAGATGAGAGACAGACAGAAAGATGTAAAAAAGAGACTTTCCGTACTCTGAGTTGGCTTCAGCCTGTCAGAAACATTCAGTTTCTGATGTAACACTGAGAAACCTGTGTGTGAGTGACCCAGAGTATGAAATATCATGGCTTCCTAACACACACTTTCACAAAAACGCGCACAAACACTCAGTGGCACCAATTTGCTTCTTCCAACCCCCCTCGCTAACAACCTGCCAGCCCTGTTGCTAGGTTACAATGATGAGAGTGTGTGTGTGTGTGTGTGATGGGGTATGGTGAGGTGGATACATTTCCACTTTCTTGCTTCAACAGCTGTGATAGTGACTGTAGTTTGGAGGTGGAGAAGTTAGTTAGACTCTGTGCAGAGGTTTCAGATATTTGATATTTCTCAAGTGAAATGTACGATGTTTCAGTCTCAAAATCGTTCAAGTGGAACATTCTGCAAAAGTAAAAGTTTTATCAGCATATTTCCGACTATGCTCTTTTTCTTTGTGTCTTTCAGGGTCGTCATGTCAAAACAGGTCAGCTTGCTGCCATCAAAGTCATGGACGTCACAGGAGTAAGTAACACACACACGCAAACACACACACACAAACTTGTATTATATCCGTACATGCCCACACCTGCTTTGGCACTTTGTCCTCACTTAACTCTCCTTGAGGGTCTCCCTTGTTTCCAGGTTTCTAATATTAGCAATTCAGTTACACAGAATTTGTATAAGCTGTGTGTGTGTGTGTGTGTGTGTGTGTGTGTGTGTGTGTGTGTGTGTGTGTGTGTGTGTGTGTGTGTGTGTGTGTGTGTTAGGATGAGGAGGAGGAGATTAAAGCGGAGATCAATATGTTAAAGAAGTACAGCCACCACAGGAACATCGCCACCTACTATGGAGCGTTCGTCAAGAAAAACCCTCCAGGGATGGATGACCAGCTTTGGGTACGTAGGTGCATGTGTCTGAAAATTAAATAGCAATAAAAAACACAATTTTTCACTTTTAAAGAAGTTTGTATATCTTGATTTAAAAAGTAAATGTTATTTTTTGCTCGAAAACAATTGCAAACATAAGGGAACCCAAAATGGTTCCATGAGAGGAACACTTGATTTTAATGTAAAGATGATATTTTTATTTCATAAATAATTATAAAATTTGTAAACTAGTGTAAATAAAAAAGAAATATTGATGAATAGATCAATCTTACATAAAAACAGGACAAAATGTTTAAAAAGAGGGCAACAAAGAGACTTTTGTTTTGAAATCTGCAGAAATCCATTATAATAATCTGCTAATTAACATTGTTGTTTTTGTAGCTTGTGATGGAGTTCTGTGGCGCTGGTTCAATCACGGATTTGATCAAAAACACCAAAGGGAACTCTTTGAAGGAAGAGTGGATTGCCTACGTCTGCAGAGAGATCCTCAGGGTGAGAACTGACATTTGCTCTTATCTTAAGAAATCAATGTTTAGTGGATCTATTTTGGTTGGGAAATATTAAAATATTTTCTTTTGGTGAAAAATGATTACAAAGCCCGAGATGGTTCCCTGAGGAACACCTTACCTTGCAACAATCGATGGAATAAAATAACTAGTGAACTTTAACTTATTTTGTTATAGAGACTTTTGATTTTTATTGTGTTTAAATTAGATTAATCTGCTTCATAACTTGAATATGGCTACTTTCTTTAGCTCAAATTAAAGAACATGAAGCACACAGTACGGTCAAACATGATGATTAAACTCTGTGTTCTTCTGATACAAGGAATTTATTAATTTGTGTTTCTGTCTCCAGGGTCTGACCCACCTCCACCAGCACAAGGTCATCCACAGAGATATCAAAGGACAGAATGTGCTACTGACAGAAAACGCAGAGGTTAAACTAGGTGAGAAGAGACACACACACATACACACACACACACACACACACACACACACACACACACACACACACACACACACACACACACACACACACACACACACACCTTGTATACAGCTTAGCAAAATGTATCAAGCAAAAACTATAGTTTGTGGTTCAAAAAAGGCATTTTAGCAATTCACGCTGTTTCTTTGTGTCTGTGTGTTTGTAGTGGACTTTGGTGTAAGTGCTCAGCTGGATCGCACGGTGGGTCGGAGGAACACATTTATTGGAACGCCATACTGGATGGCGCCTGAGGTCATTGCCTGTGACGAGAACCCTGAGGCCACCTATGACTTCAAGGTAAAATTGATTTGTTTCACCTTTACCACCTATAACATTAAAGTGATGTACACGTAAATAAATCAGATCTTGTATATGTAGAATCTGTTGGATGTAATTTTCAAAAAAAATGTATGGTTGGGGGAACTATTTTGGTGCCAAACAATTTAAATCATAAGGGAACCCAGGATTGTTCCCTGAGGAACACCTTATTTTGGTAAACGAGAAAACGAATTATCGTTTTGTGCTTATATTTTAAGGGAATGGCTTTTCTAGTTCTATTATTATACATTTTATTTATTTCATTCTGAAACAGAGCAACTGTAATAAAGACCAACCCCTCCCCCGAGTTAAAAAATATATTGATCGTGACAATTAAAAACGGATAATATTAACAATAATACAATGTAATGTCATCCTTAAGATCCACACTAGCAGTGGTAGGTGGAGGATTTCTGTGTCTGTATTTGTATCACTTAACAGGAACACTGACCAGTGGATTTAAATGATGATGTGTGAAGTTGGTAACAGGTTTTTAGGATGTGAAAGTTTTCAGCTTTCTCTCTCTCTCTCTGCAGAGTGATCTGTGGTCTCTCGGTATCACAGCTATAGAGATGGCGGAGGGTGCACCGCGTAAGTGTGAAACTCACCAAACTATTACCACAGAGCACAGTGTGTCCTGTTGTTAAAAGTCTAAATCTACATCTTTTTTTATCCTCTTGTTCTTTTGTTTCCTGTTGTTTCCTGTATTCTTTTGTCATCTCCTCTTTTCTGTTTCCTTTACTACCTTTTTTCTTCATGTCTTTTCTTTTTCCGTTTCCATTCATTTTATCCTTCCCTTTCCTCTCTTCTTGCCTAATTTGTATCTGTTCTTATGTCCTTTCCTGTCTTTCCTTTCCTGTCTTTCCTCCTTTCCTTTTCTCTTACCATATTTTGTCTCCTATGCTTTCATTCTTCTCTGCTTTCCATCCTCATGTCTCATCCCGTCTCCTGTCCTTTTGTCCTAATTCTTCCCTTTCATTTTCTCGTCCCTTTTTTTTTTACTTACTCTTCTTCTCTTCCTCAGCTCTGTGCGACATGCATCCAATGAGAGCGCTCTTCCTCATCCCCCGAAATCCTGCCCCCAGACTCAAGTCTAAGAAGTGGTGAGTCACTAAAACACACACACACACACACACACACACACACACACACACACACACACACACACACACACACACACACACACACACACACACACACACACACACACGACGACGACGACGACGGAGGAGGAGA